AGAAATCACCCCCCAGGGGGGATGGCCATGCCACAATCCCTTCTCCTCCATTCTCCTGTCGGGATCTTGGGCACACACGCACACGTGCCCAGCGTGAGTTTAAGCCGCCGGCTGGGTCCAGGATGTGAACCGCAGTCGACTACATGGGAGTCCAGCGACATAGCCATTGCACTAACTGCTGGTCTCCACATTATAGTCTTTATTCAAAATTCATACTGTACCCCCACAAAGATGTTCAATTATTATATATCAATAAAATATTTAAAAAGAAATTAATTTTTTAAAAAAGAAAGAAATAGATTTGGGCCAGCAGGTGGCATAGTGGTTAAAGTACTAGACTCCCATGTAGCTGACCACGGCTCGAGTCCCAGATCTGGTGGCTTGAAACTCACTCTGAGCATGTGTATACATGACCAGAATCCCAGGAGGAGAGTAGAGAAAATATTGATTCATGGCCATCTCCCCTAGGGGGCAATTTCTTGCTTTCTGTCTCTCTGGCAAGAGTATATGCCCTATAGTAAAAATCTCTCAAAAATTTTTAAAAAGAAATTGATTCAAAACAGAATGTTGAAAAGGTAAGGATGAAGTGAAAAAAACTAAGAAATACGTATCCAAAGTTTATTTTTTTGTTTTTTGTTAATTTTTAAAGAATTATTTTATTTAACTTACTTAATTAATTTATTTTAATTTGACTAGAGAGTGAGAGAGGGAAAGTGAGAAAGCAAGCAGCCAGGTCCAGGACTGGAATTGCGGTCAGCTATGTGGGAGTCCAGTTCTCTTAATCACCACACCACCTGCTGGTCCCTCATCCAAAGTTTAAAAAATAGCTTTAATTATTATTATTATTATTATTATTAATGTGTCAGAGAACCTGTGCACTGACCAGAAAGACAAAGTAGAAGAGAAAGCACACCCCAGTGGGGTATGGTCACACCACAATCCCTTCTCCATTTCTCCATCCTGTTGGGAGGTTGAGCACACACACACACACACACACACACACACACACACACACACTGGGTATGCTTTTCAAGCTGCCAGGACTGGGATTAGAACCATGGTCAGTCATGTGGGATCCTTTCACCACAATGCCACAGGACAGGCCTGAAGCATTTTGTTTGACCCAACAGTTTTTAACTCTAAAAACTAACCCCAAACAAATAATTAATGACGAATGAAAGATGAATAAAGGGTAACAGTTAAACCGCATGGTTGGGGCCAGCAGGTGGCATGGCGGTTGAGGCACTGGATTCTCACATGGCAGACCATGGTTTGAGTCTTGGACCTGGTGGCTTGCTTTCTCATTTTCTCCCTTTCTCGCTGTTTCTTTCTGGTAAGCACATAGTGAATTAAAATAATAATAATAAATAAAATTAAATAATTCCTTAAAAAAAAAAAAAAGAAACTACATGCCAACATGGCTTTTTTCAGTGAAATACTTAAAGCAATCTGAAGTATCCAAAATCTAGGACTGGAATTTTTTTTTTTTTGGAGAGGTTTTTGCTACAGGGCATGTGCGCTCGCCAGACAGACAGAGACATAGAAAAGCGAGAATCACCCCCCAGGGGGGATGGTCACGCCGCAATCCCTTCTCCTCCATTCTCTTCTCGGGATCTTGGGCACGCACGCACATGTGCTTGGCAAGGGTTTAAACCACCGGGTCCGGGACGTGAACTGCGGTCAACTACGTGGGAGTCCAGCGACATAGCCATTACGCTAACTGCTGGTCTCTAGGACTGGAATTTTGCTAAACCTTTCCAGGAGAACATTCAACAGTCACTAAGAGCAACTGTAAGGAAAGCTCACTTGATGTTGGGTGGAAAAAGTCTCCAGCAAAAATTAAAAGAAACAAAACGAAAACCAGAATATGCGGCTTGATTCCAGTTTTGCGTTCCATATACACTCACATGCAGGAAACTGAAAATATAAACAAAAACTATTACAGCAGGTACTTCCCAGTGTTAGGATCATGGGGGAGCCATGGGCTCTTTTTAGCTATGTACTTACCTACATGTAACAGCAGTGACACAAGGACAGGGGCAGGGAGGGACAGCTGCGGGAGGGTCTCCCAGGACCTCTACCCCCACCTTGCTCTAGGATACAAGTTAGGAATGGTATACCCTGGGCAGGCCCTAGCATAGCCTATTGGTTAAGGGAGCCAGTCCAGGAAGTCCAACATCTAACTGGTACTAGTGTCTGAGGCAGTAATAAAGAAATAGAAGGGGGGCCAGCAGGTGGACTGGTAATTAAGGATGCTGGAATTCCACATGGCTGACCACAGTTCGAGTCCCAGACCTGGCAGCTTGGTTTCTCACTTTCTCTCTTGCTCTGTCCTAATAAATGAATGAATGAAGAAAGTTAAATAAAATAATTCTTTAAAAACAAACAGAAAAAAAAGAGAGAGAGAGAGAGAAAGAGACCAGCAGTTAGCATAATGGCTATGTCGCTGGACTGCCATGTAGTTGACTACAGTTCGAGTTCCGGACCTGGTAGCTTAAACTCAACGCTGGGTGCGTGTGCGTGCGTGCTCAAGATCCTGAGAAGAGAATGAAGGAGAAGGGATTGCGGCATGGCCAACCCCCCTGGGGGGTGATTTCTCGCTTTCTATCTCTCTGTCTCTCTCTGTTTTCGGGGAAAACCCGCGCCCCATAAAAAAAACCCCCCCAAAAAAAAAAAAAAAAGAATTGGAAGGGGTAGGCCAACCCTGTAGCCTACTGGTTGAAGCCCCAGCAGCCTGAAAAGCATGCCAGGCACATGTGTATATGTGCCCAAAATCCTGACAGGATGAAGAAACAGGAGAAGGGATTATGGTGTGACAACACCCCACTGAGGGGTGCTTTCTCTCTCTCTATCTCTGTCTCTTCCTGGCAAGCTCACACGCTCTCTGGCAATTAAGATACGTGTGTGTGTGTGTGTAACTTTAATTTAAAAAGAAAGCATATGTGTGGCTAAACCTACATTCTCTTAGTTAAGCCCGGAGTCAGCTGCAGCAAGGGAGCTGGGATAGTGGGCAGCTCTGAGGTGTGTGTGTGTGTGTGTGTGTGTGTGTGTGCACTTGCATGTGCATGGCCCTCTTCTGGGGAGGGGTGCTTTGAAGGTCCAGGGAGTCCCTCCACCCCCCACCCTGTCCATGGCTTACCTTGAAGATGGTGTTATCTCCCTCCTGGCTGGGGCCGTGCCGTGTGGCATGACGCCAGGGGATGTAGAAGAATTTCCTCTCCCCATTGACCCACTGCAGCCCTGGGTACTGGCAGGTATGTGGCCCACCAGCCAGGGCTTCAGCCGCACGCGGCGGGGTGGGGGGGCGGCCCCGGGGGTGGGCTGGTTCATGGCAAATGGGCCTGCAGAAGAAAGTAAGAGGGTGTGTCAGCAGGTCTGCCGCTATGCTCCCTGCCCAGGGGGCTGGGTCACCTGGGGGCCAAGCCATGGGCCCTCTCCAGTCCATCCAGGTACCAAAGGCCAATTCCTTTCCAGCCATCAGTTTTCTTGTCCAGGGGGAGGAGGAAATTACACTGTAGTGGATACTGGGGCACTCACCCCGGACGCCCTGCATCAGGCTGCCCCTTTGTCCAACAGATGCCCTCAGCTGCCTCCCTCCACAGCTTAGGCCCTGGACAGCAGCCCACAGCCCAGGGTGCTTGACAGGGGCCCAACATCCTGGCCTCCAGGTGGGCCAACAGTGCAGGAGGGGTCAGGCCGAAGCCAGTCTCCAGTGCCTCAGCTTTTTTCCCTACCCTGATTTCTTTCTTTAAGTTTATTTTAGCCATTAAAAAAATTATTTTATTTATTAATCATTACTCTTTCATTTGACCAAAGAGAGAGAAAGGGTGAGTGAGAAAGCAAGCCGCCATGTCCGGAATTCGAAATGCAGCTGGCGATGAGGATTTCCAGCATCCCAACCACCACGCCACCTGCCGGCCCCAGTCGTTTATTATTTTTTGAGAGCTGGCATCCCCAACAGGGTTCCCACTCCGTGAACCATCCCCAGCACACGTGCCCTCATGCCTGGTGTGTCCAGGGAGGTCCCAGGACATGAGCCCAGGCCCCTTCCCATGTGGCCTGTGTGTCACTACCCCGCTCCTGCCTGGCCCCTCTCCTGCTCTGATTTCTCCTCATTCTCCTGAGACCTCCTTTGTAAACCCCCCTCCACAAGAATCCCATCTCGAGCTTCCAGGAAACCTGCGGTTAGGCCAAAGCAGATCAGGTAAAGAGGGAAGGTTTCCACACTCAGTTCGCAGAGCTCCTCTCTTCCTCTGTTTCCCTTGGGATGAAGCTTCCCCCACATATATTTTTAAGTTTTTTTTGAGAGGTTTTGCTATAGGGTGCGTGCTCTCACCAGAAAGACAGAAAACGAGAAATCAGCCTGGAGGGAGGGCCACACCGCAATCCCTTCTCTTCCATTCTCCTCTCAGGATCTTGGGCATGCATGCACACGCGCCCGGCGTGAGTTTAAGCCACCGGGACTGGGACTTGAGCCGTGGTCAACTACATGGAGTCCAGGGACATAGCCATTATGCCAACTGCTGGTCCCCTTTATAAGATTTTTTGTGAGAGATTTTTTTCTATAGGCACTTGGGCTCAATGGAGAGACAGATAGAAAGTGAGAAAAATCACCCCCCAGGGGGAGATGGCCACATCGCAATCTCTTCTCCATTCTCCTCTTGGGATCTTGGGCATGCACATACACACATCTAGCGTGAGTTTTAAGCTGCCAGGTCCAGGACTCGAACCACAGTAGACTACGTGGCAGTCCAGTGATGTAACCATTACGCCATTTGCTATACCCAATACCGTTAGAGAAATCCTACTCACCAACTCAATGGACTTCCAGCATGAACCGCGGCCACCCTATGTAGACCTCACCCTTCTTCAGCCACCACCTCCCTAGACTCTTGTTCCTCCCCTTCTCCTGCTGGACATGTGTCCACTCAGCCTTTGGGGAGCCCTTGCGTCGGCCAGGGCTGCACCACACCTGCTGCAGGAGACGCAGAGCCGGGTCTCACAGCCACTGTGCGGAGCTGGCCTCACCTACCCAGGCTACAGTCTGCCCTCTGCAGAGTCAGGCCAGCCGGACGCCTATGTGGGACTCTGGCTCCTTCCTGCCACCTGCCCAGCTGTTCCTGCCCCTGCCATCCAGAACCTGAAACCTCACGGTCTGAGCCTCTCAGGCCCCTCGCCACTCCTGGGCAGCCTCTTTCTTTCCCACGCCCTTGGCCCTCAGCCCTGTGGTCCAGGATCAGGGACAGACAGAACTGACCCATCATGCAACCAGGCCTCGGAGGGGAACCTGTCAGCCGGCAAGTAAGGGACGAAGGGTGAAGCTTGCTCCAGGCCATCCTGAGCTTCCTACCAAAAGCCTCGGTTTCCCTGAAATCCCTTACCTAGAACTTCGGGTTGTGGCTGCCAAGTGCCACCTCTGTGCTGTTAGAGTCCTCCCCCTGCTCCCCAGGCCTCTCCTCAGCGCAGTGGCCACCTCAGCCACCAGGGACCTGTGAAGGGTAGGTCAGCCCCTCCCTGGCACAGGAAAGTTCCCAGCCCTGCCCCCCCGGCTCGGAAGCTGGTGGCTCAGTTCCCCTTTCTGCACCAGCCTCCACCCAGCCCCAGGGGAAATGAAAGCGACCAGACCAGGACAACTCAGAGACCTGACTCACTGTGAGCAGAGGGAGGGAAGCACGGAGGGAGGGAATACAGAGAAATGCACGAGCGGGTCTCCGAAACCGAATTCTCAGTCTCCCACTGCATGGCCCATTCCTGCCCCTCAGGCCTATGGCAGTCGCTGTCACTTAATGTGGTCACAGCACTAGTAGCCTCACTCACCCACAGGTATAGAGAGGACCTCTGAAAGTTCATGCAAAATTGGAATTAAAGTATGAGTTTATTTAGGTGCAAAAAAAAAACCAGTGAAATCCAGACAGTTTCTCATGATGTGCATTTTCTGTGAACTCTCCAGCCCCCTGAGAGACCTTGGTCCTGGAATAGGGGTGACAGTCACCAATAGCAGGCAATTCTAAGTGGGACAGTAGAAAACTGTGTCCACACCCAGGGTTGGGGATGGGATTTCCTGATAACTCCTGCACACCTGGTCTGGCCCGGAACAGGCAGGGGCGCAGCTGGGAACCAGGAAGCCCGCTCCTCTGTGCCCTGCCAATTTGGAGACCTGGGCGAGCCCCGCCCTCTGGCCATCCATACTGCCCTTCAATGCAGAGAGGTTTTGAAATGGTAACCGAGGTCTCTAGGCCTCCATGTCAGGAGCTGCAGTCCCTTCGGGTGACCTAGGGAGGGGATGTGAAGAAGGGACTCCCCCCACAGCCTGGCCAGGGCTGAGGGAAGGGTTTTTGCCTGCAGCAGGTCCATAATACCTTGTCTTGGGCAGGACCAGGTGCAGCTCACAGCCCCCCAGAAGCTTCCTCCTGCCTAGAGGTGGGCTTTTATCTGAGGCCTGTGACTTTTGAATTCCAACATCTGGACCGGTCTGGCTTTTCGGGGCTCTGGAGGGGGAGGGTGAAATGTATGTAGCCCCCAGATCTAAGTGAGTGAACTGAGTCCTGGAAAGTGGACCAACAGTTACTCCACCAACTTCTATGGAAATGTCAGAAGGGGTGTGGGCCACTGAGACCTAAAGAAGCCCCCACAAGTGGGTCAGGCAGGGGAACCTCCAGAGAGCCAGCCCTGGTGCCCCTGCTGGTGTTGGCAGACCCACAGCCCAGCAGGGTCCCTTGCAGTCACGGGAGACAGCCACCTGAAACAGGAACTCTGCAGCCCCAGGCCCTGGGGGAGTCCCGGGAGTGAGAGGAGTAGGTGGGGCAGCAGCCCCGGTCACCTCCCCACCTGTCTGGTTCACTTCTCTCCCTGCAACCTCACACCCAGCTCCGGGAGAAGGATAGGGGTTCCCCGCACTCATGGCCCTAAGTGCCATTCTGGTTCAGGCAAGCTGACCCTACCCGGGGCCTGCTCCCCTGCAGTCCAGACAGGGTGAGCCTCTGGGGCAGCAGGCGCAGCAGGAAGAAGTCTTTCCTCCTGGGGACAGGGCTGGGGAAGGCTGCGGTACAAAGGGAAACCCCCCCCCCGCAAGTAAGGCCTTTAGGTAAAAAAGGTGATTTCCCTGTGCTTCCTAAACTCTTGCCAGGAGCCCGCCAGACCCAGCGCTCTAAGCCCAAAGCTAAAAGCTGCGGCGGGCACTGCCTCTGGCCAGGCAGCCAGCTCCCAAGGGACTTCAGTTTCCTCCACCGGCCCAGCCCACCTCGGTTCTGGTCCGGGTCACTTATCCCTGCTCTGGGCCCGCAGAAAGCCAGATTAAGCCCGGCCCTTGCAGCCACCCCCGCAGGTTCTGCCCCGGGCAAGCTCTGCCCCGGGCAGGTCGCCCACTCTCTCGTGCCAGCCCGCAGAGCCACCTGGTGCACCAGCTTAGGGTCTGCCTGCGGGCCGCTCCTCGGGCAGGTGGCGCCTCTGCCATACGCCGAGGCCAGGAAAGTCCCCTACTCCCACCTCGCACCCAGGACCTGCTCTGGCCACTCCCGGGATCACAGGAGACAACCGCCCTGGGACCGTCCTCGCCATCTCGCCGCGTCGCGACCTCCGCTTTTAGATTCTTAATTGTTTTGTTCTTAGTTTGGGGGCAGGACATAAAGAAACTAGCCCCCCAAAGTATCGCGCCCCGGTTCTTTTCCTCTGTAGGAGGCTCAGCGTCGACCTTCCTGGGCCACTGATGGAAGGGCGGCGCGTCTACCCGACACCATCCTTCCACAAACTTCCCACCGAAGCCTGCCACTGGCCTCTAAGTCCCAGGGAGCTGATGCCTTAACCTAACGCACCTCTTACTCAGAAGACCGAGGGAGGCTGGGGAAGAGCGACGAGGAGCGCGCCGACAGGGAGGACGGGCCTCGCTCCTCCGCAAAAAAAGCCACTCCTGCCGGGCGCCCTGGCGCTCCCCTTCCTGGCGATGGCGAGGCGGTGGGGGAGACGCGCAAGGCGGGCGCCCTGCAGTGGAGCTGACGCGCCGCTGGGACCTCGGGGCTGCCTGGGAGCCTGTGGGACAGTGGCTGCGGGGGCCCGGCACCACAAGACCGCGGC